ATCCCTGTGGATACACTGCGCAAGCACAGACGTTGTTTTCACGAAAGAGCCGCTTATGTGATGTAAGCCATGTCAGCGAGTGGGGTCAAGACACTCATATTCAATTATTCCTTGACAGGTGGTTCCAACTCAAGGGATGAGTTAACTAGTTTACTTTTCACATACAGGGAAGCCAATCCCTTCTTTTTCTAGAATGTCTCCGTTACTCTTTTACCTGTTTTGAGCTGGGTGTCAGTTCCTCCTCTCCGAACTGGAGATGCCACCATCTGCAAACACAGTTTGTGGTCCTGGGAGGTTTCCATGCACCTCCATGTGCCCTGAGCTGGTTCACAGGCTGGCACACCTGGAGCACACTCCAAGACGAAGGTCTGGCCAGGATTCCTTTGCAAAAGGGTCACACTTCACGCAGAGTCACTGAAAGAACAAACTCCCTGACAGATCCTATTCTGCACATTCCAGTGCCTTATTTCCACTATCGAGCTATTCCTTAAGTTGACTCACTTCCTAAGCCAAGAACATTGATCCAAATTACATTTCCATGCCACACTCTGAACGTATTCCCCAATGCTCCTTCCCAAGCTCCCAAGTACTGCTTTGCTTCAGGGTGGCAGCCCAAAATCATTTGGGTGGTCACTCGATGTTGATTGAGAGAGAGCACTCTGGAATTCCTCTTTCCCAGGAGTCTTGATGTGGCCACTGCTCAGGTCCCAAAGGTGGCGATATTAAGACTCTACGTGGAGGTGGCTCCTGGTGGTTCCCTAAAAAGGAAGTTCTGCAGGTATCCGCAGAGGAGTGTCTCTGGCTAAGGGAACACAGAGCCAAGGTGCTGAGCTGGGAATGTGGCTGGTGAGTTCCAGAACCAGCCAGGTGGTGAAGGCAGCTAGAGGAGGTGGAGGAGAATAGAAGATAAGGTGAGATAGGTCATGGGGAGCTGATGGCATAAGGTCCAGAAAACCATGAGTTTGACTTTTATCCTGATTAATTTTTATTCAAGCATTTTGAGAACAGGCTGAAGGGAGGCAACCCAGGAGAGGATGAGAGCTGTGGGGTTGAGAAAGTCTTACAAGAGGAGCCACATTTGGACCCGACAGAGATTTTCATCAGCTCCTGGACTTGGAATCTGATCACATGGGACAGTTGGGTTTCTTTTTTTCAGGAAGAGGTGAGTGTATTCCATGTGTGAACAGAACCGAACAAACAGGTACTTGGTGGCCAGTGCCAAAACCTGCCCCTGGTTCTTCCCAGACACAGAGCCAGTCTCCCTTCTCAGCCTCCCTTGCGAGCAGGTGTGGCTATAAGACTGACCAGACACTAGGCAATGGAATATGAATGGAGGTGACTGCAGCCTCCAAGCCTGGCCCATAAACACCTCCCATGTGGGCTCCTTTATATACCTCTTCCTCTGCTGGCTCACTGGGTTGATTCACCAGGGTGAACTTCAAAGCCAAGTGAAGACAAATGCTGTCTAGTACTGAAATATGGTGTGAATCAGCCTTGCTTAGGGTACAAACCCAAACCCAGCCTGATCGAGGCCTCAGTCATATTAAAATCAACAAGCTTCCCCAACACTGCATTCCAGTCCCCCATGGCCATACCTTCAAGCCCCAAATAGGACGGAAATTCAGTCCCCCAGCTTCTGTGTCACCAGCTGTCCCAGAATTTCCAAGTTGTGGTTACCTAGGTGTCCTAGCTATTAGGGAGTAAATAAATGGGTTAATCATGGAAAGCCTAGTTAACAGCATGCATAACTGAGTCTGAGTCTTTGGGTAACCTGACAAGGGTAGTCAATGGGAACATATCTTTGATCCATTAACTTAAAAATTGGGTGCAGGCTAGGTGTGACCCTATGTGGGACAATGGTTCATTTCAGTACTTTCCGTGGTTTGGGGAGAGCTCTGGAGCCTATGAGGCAGTTCAGGTTTCTTTAGAGTAGAACTCCTCCTACATTGCTTTATTCATGCTCTTGTGACCTCCCCCAGATGATCACCTCACATAATCACACCCAGCCCAAGCCCCAGATGCCTGAAGCTTGACCTTGACCTTGCCGCCTAGCTTCAGGGAAAGGCTGTTGAGTCCCCTGAATTTTCACTGTCACATTGCCTCTGCTTCTTTCAGACTGGCTGCATGGCCCGAAGCTTGCTATTCGTATGCTTTTTTCTTGTATGTACTAGAAATTGTGCCCGCAGCCAGCTGTGGGTCCCGCTCCTGGGTGAGGTTCTGTAGTAGATGCAACAGTATTTTGCCTACTGCCAACCCCTTCCACGTGTCCCTTTCCAGCTCCATGTAATTCATGTGGGGATGTCAATCAAGAGACTGATTGTCACACACAGTCGCAGCCATATGACCAAGCAAGTCCATTTGAGGGAATTTCTATAGACTCTTGTGAAGATGGTATCTCTTTTACTGAGATGGTGAGCCTAGATCTCTGGGATCCTCTCTTCCGCCTGATGTAAAGCCATCAAGTCAACACAGAGCAAAGGTGGGCTGAGAAGCTGGGGAGAGAGAAACAGATTCCTAGTGATAGTTGTTGAACAACGGGATCCAGTCCTGTCCTAGACCAGCAGCCCCATACCCTTAGACTTGGATGCATTAGCCAACATGTCTTGTAAAAGTAAACACATTTAAGGCTTGTATGAGTCGAATTTCTATCATTTACAACTGGAGCTTCTAGTAACATTCCTAAGAACCTGATTCACTACCGGATGTCCAAGGGTGACCCACCTATTTTCCCACCAACACCTCTCCTGAGCGCGTCCTTTCCTGTGTACACTTAGGGCACCTCTACTGCAGCCAGCTACAGGTCTTTCTTACACAATTTACCCTTTGGATCTCCTGCCTTACCTGAGGGTGGCAAACTAAACGGAGAATACGATAACACTTATTCAGATCACTCATCTCCATCTTTTCCCTAAAAGACTGTTCTATCAATGCATCTTACAGAATCCCTAGTGAGAGGTGTTTTTTTTTTTTTTAAATTTTTAAAATTTTTTAACCAGGACCTTTGCATTCGACCCAACTATTGAGGATATTATTGGGAAAGCCTCTACCCATCTTACCCCTCTATTTCCTTATTCACTGGAAAACAGCTAATAGGGTCAATTAAAATTAATTTTGTAGGTCCTCAAGTTGCCTCCTTCCTGTTATTCTATTTCTAATTTTTTGAAGGTTGGTGCCACTTCAAGAGTTCTAATATTCTAGGCCATTGACTAACTTTTCTATAATGTCCCTAGCTTTGGGCCCATGAACACAATATGGGAATGATCCTTCAGGTCAAAGGTTGGCAAATAACAGCCCATGAGACAAAATCCAACCAGTCATCTACTTTTGTGCATAGTCACTGGAACACGGCCATACCCATTCACTTAAGTATTACACGTCTGCAGCTGCTTTTGTAGTTGCTATAGAGACCACTGGCTGCAAAGCCAAAGATATTTATTATTTGGCCCTTTACACAAGTTTACTGATCTCTGCTCTAAAGGAGTGTTTCTCAACCATTTCTTCATTGTGGCACCTATTAAAAAACGACATCCCAGGAGATCTTGACAAACCTTTGGGGCACCCTGGTTGGGGAAGGTCTATCCTAGACTACATGGAGGAGAACATGACTTGGCATATACTTGGAATACCACTGTCTGATAGCTTGTTCTTCTTTTTGAGACACCTGGACACCGACACATGATCGAAATCTAGGTTCTGTAGGGCCTTTGTTTAGATTCCTTTGTGGATTTCAGCTTTGGCCAAGACCAAGACCAAGACCAAGACCAAGACCAAGGTTACTTGTCCTACTCATGGGTGGTGGCAGCAATGACCTTCCTGGGCATCCTGATTTCCTGTGCGACTGTCCTTGTGGCATGAGTCGAGGCACCGTTCTAAAACAAGACTCAAAAGAGCGTAAAGATGTTGTCATCACTGACAGGGGCCTGTGATACAAACTGGAATTCATGATTTCGCCTCTGCATTCCCAGCACACCAGCTGCGGAACCCCTGAGTGCCCCTCCTATTTTGGGGCCCCATCAATACACTCTTCTTTTTTCCCCTTTACGATGGCATAAATTCACTGCAGAAGCCATGACAGAAGTGGCTGTTCACTTTCTATGTTGCCGTAGAGGAGAAAGGGGGGTTAAGAACCAGTCACACCAATAGAAAGAATGAAACTGCAAGTTTATTTGAAAGTATAAAATTAAAAAACAAAAAAACAAAACTGCACACAATCTTTCCAGTTTACATCAACTTTGAACATCACACACCAATAACCACTTAGTTGCATTTTTTAAAAGTGTCAATTTCAAATTAGAGGGAGTTGAGTCAGACGATAAACTATCTATCACAGTGAAAGTACTTTAATGCTGAAGTAAAAAGGACTCATTGACCTCATTTGAGAAAAGAGAGCAGAGATGGTTTTCCAGTTGGCATAGATTTAGGCGATGTATAAAAAAATATCCTGGTTGGAATGAGTTAAAAAAATATCGCTGGCCACTTGTTTCGCTATCTTGAGGGGGGAAAAAACCCCCAAACCCCCACAGCTTTGGTGTCATATTAACATATTTTTAGATATTAATATATTTTTAGAAACATTCATTAAAAAAGTCAAATCTGTAACAAAAATGTCCTTGTTTGTTTTAAAAAACATTACATACACTCCCCTTATCTACTAACACCATTTGTTTTCCCAAAATGCCTGGAAGCAGAAATGTACGCAAGATTAACTTGCTGCACTATTAATTAAAATCAGAATCCTTTCCTCGGAACAGCTTCCAGAGCACCAGGCAGCAGCAGGGGTGCGTCCCAGGGAGAAATAAAGCCATTCTGACTCACAGGAGATGAAATGCTCAGCCTGAGTTCTGAACACACTCTGGCTGCCATGAGAAGTCCTTTCTTCATTGGAGTGCTCAGAAAATAACTAACGTGTTATTTTAAAAATGAAGGATGCAAGCAACTCGGTTCCTTTCCTTTCCTTAAAAAAAAAAAAAAAAAAAAATTCACCAAGTGGTTAGCTTTCTTGTAATGTCCTCTGGGTCTGGTTCAAAAAAGGAGTCTGCAGAATAGGATCACTGAACGCTACTTCATTCCCCCTCCGCAGGCTCCACGGGAATTAGCATCAAAGAGGCTACTGCAAGTTTGCTGGGCCGGGGAAGGAAGCCCTGAATGGGTGACAGCTGGCCAGAGTGGCTCCCTGGTTCCAGTTTTGTCCCCTGTCCATTTCTTGCCAAACACCCAGGTTTCTGCCCATTATATCCCCAGGGGGTGGGCCCTGTGGCTGGCGGGGCAGAGAGAAGAGGAAAGCTAGCAAAACAGAGATAGGACTGAGGGAGAAAGGCACCCCTCATTCAGCATCCTTTGAGAACTAGATAAATAAGAGCTCAAAGTGCAACAATGCACAAACACCTGGCACGCAGGTCAGTCTGGAGTGACTTGTTATCAGGGATCAGCGGGACAAAGGCGTGATCTTTCTTTGGACCTCACTAGAGAAAAAAACAACAAAAAAGACAGCTGTCCTATACACATATAAATAGTCCCTTAACTAGAAGGGAAAAAACAAACACACTGTTTCAAATGCATTTCTAAAAGATTTAAAAAAAAAAAAGTCCAAATGGCAAATCTTGTCTCCAAATTGTCCACCATCTCCCTGTTTCTCAGGGGAGAAACTATGGGATGTTCGAAGAGGTTAAATCCAACTCTAAGCCTAACCCTGTATCGGGGCCTCGGGGCGGGGAGTGTGCGCAGTGCAGGCAGCTGGCGGCTCTGGTGGGAGGTACTGAGCACAGTTCTCTGTGTTAGCAACCGGTGTCAACTCCAAATACACAGGTGAAATGACTTTTGACTGAAGGGAGCTTAGGGGGCTAGTGTTGAAGCTGCATGAGCAGGCCAGGCAGGATGGGTGTGGTTTAGAGGGCCAGCGGGCCAGATCAGGTATTAGGCCAGCTCCGGCTGGGTGCTCATCCCTCAGCCACAGGCATGCCGCAGCCGGGAGGCTGACAGTCCAGAAACCAGGGCAGGGACCGTGGACAAAAGCAGGGCTAGGCTCCTCGCAGCGTGCATGTCAGGCTGTGAACTCGGATAAACCCGTGGGGGACTTCCTGCCTACTCTGGGATGAGCCTGGTAATTCACTGCCAGAGAAAGCTCTCAAAACAAGGATTCTCAGGCAAACTTTTAAAGCCAGAATCTATCTAGACGGTTTCACAAACCCAAAATGCCACAGCTGATTACTGAAGGGCGTAACTCATGTCAAAGGCTTTCTCTGGCCACTGAACTGAGAGTAATGCACAGGATAATGCTAGGTTTCCATGCCCGCCTGGCTTTGAACCCAAACCCCCAAACACAGCTCTTAGGTGGCAGCCCACCGGGAACGTGGCCGAGTGTCTTCTGCCCTTCTGAACACCCAACACGGCACAGAGACAATGCTTCTCAGGGGCTACTGACACCCTGCTTTATGCTGCCGCCGACTCGGCCAGAGTGCCATGGTAACAGGAAAACGTGACGCGTGAAGCTGTGGTCCTGCGCCCCGGCGGAAGGGTGGCCTCCCAGAAAAGATGGACAATATACATCATGTCAACTGAGAGGCCAGGAAAACGCTGGGCCACCCTCCCCAAAACACCCCTGCAATGTGGGGGAGGAGGGGAAAGGAGAGACAGCTGACACCCCAGGTCACTCCTGCAGGCACCCCGAAGAGCTTCCCACGAGTGCAAGTTGTTAGGAGGGTAACAAGTCAGAGCAGATTCACCCATATGGACTTTGGAACGGCCGGATTTTATACTTCTTCGGTGCCCCGGCTGGGCACGGAGTCCCTGGGCTCGGCGGTGCCCTCCTGGGGGTCAGGCCGCCCCGAGCTGTGGCCGGTGTCTTCCACGCTCAGGAGGCTGCTGGCGGCCTGGGAGCTGGTGCTGTCGGCGCTCCCCGACCGGGAGCGGTAAGGGGGCAGGTCGGCTTGGTTCAGGGACTCGGTGTCGGAAGAGTAGGGCGGTGGAGGGAGGTCGTACCATGCAGGTCTGCAATGGAGAAGGCAGGATGGGGTGGGAGGGGCAGGGGAGAGGAGAAGAATGGGTTACAAGGAGCCAAGGCCAGGCAGGCAGTGCCACGTGTGCCCGTTTCTGAGCGGACACTGACACGAAGATCTGCCCTCCAAGCACGGGGGCAGCCCAAGGTGGTGCGCAGCAAGACCGGGACCGGGGGCAGGTCAGTGCGCGCCGGCTGGCGTGTGCCAGCTGGGCAGTGCCCGAGCCACACCCTCTGGGTGAAGCCAGAGTGAGGATGCCAAGTATACCCTCGGCTCATCCTGGGTGACCTGGCGGAGTGGCTTCGCTCCAGCAGCTGGGGTCCCCGTGGCCAAGCCACTGGTCCGGTGTTTGGTGGAACCTCTGAATTTCTTACTGAAAGCCAACTCTACCTGGCTGTGTAGACTTGGGTGAGGGAGAGGACATCCTCTTAACACCTCAGTCTCCTTATCTGTAGAAGGGGACACACTAAGGCCACCTTGCTTGCAAAGAAGTAACAGAAAAGACACCTCATTTTTTTCAGCTCTCATTTACTGGACGCTCACTGCGAGTCAGGCCCACGCCATGCACCTCACGTTCATTCCTTTACATAAGGGTCCCAAGAGCGAAGAGGCAGGTGTTACTTTGTGCCCTTGTACTGAGGAGGGAACTGAGGCAGGGGCATTAAATGACTCGCACAGGATCACCAGTAACTTGTAAGCAGCAGGGCTGGACCCAGGCATTTATCAGTTTCAGTGACTTGAACCTCACTCTACAGTGAAATGAAGAGGTAATGAGGAGGGGGTGAAGTTTTGTACGTTTATGCTTATTGGCAAAGAGACCCCTAAGCACTGCTCGCTGAAGCCACCTTTTATGAGGAGGGAAAACAGCGATTAAAGAGTACAAGAGCTGCCAGTGAAGAGGGTCCAAGAGGAACCCAGTCACCCCAGAAATGTGGACTCACACAGTAAGTCCCGAGCTCAGAGGAAGAGGGACACTGAGCAGAGCCCTGCAGGGAGGGCACAGCAACCTCAGAACCGGAGAGAGAGGGAGGCCCGGCAGGCAGGGGTGAGGCCCACTACCCACTTCGGCTACAGGACTCTGCTTTCTGACTTCCTACATTGGCTCCATTTGTAGGGAGGGTGCTAATGTTAACAGGCATGAGAGTGCTCTGCTCCGCCCCCTTTACTTTATAGATAAAGCCAAGCAAAGGTAAGGACCTGATTAATTGGCTCACTCATTTATTCACTTCCTCACATTCGCTCATTCGTTCCACAAATACCAACCAAACCCCTGATACGCAGGGGTACTGTTCCGTGGAAGCAGGAGAGGCCTCAGAGTGTGAAAGCCAGTGGCCTGAACGTGTGTCAGTGTGGCAATAACGGGGTGCGGGTGGTAGGGTGGGCGGGGGGAAGCAGTGCTCTGAGATGCCAGGAGCCTAACTGTTATGTCCTTAGCCAGTAACTAAAATCCAGCAGCCTCAGTTTCCTCATTTGTAAACTGGAAACAGAAACAGAGCCCTCCTCAGCGAGTCATTGAGAGGACTCAATCAGGTGATGCCCGAGAACTGTTTTGCAAGGACTCTGAATGTCAGATGCTGCTGTGCCTACAGTACCCGAATGCAGGCTCTTGGCAAGACCCAGGAACCCAGGTGTGCATGTGTTTTGCTCCCCCGGCCGATGAGCTCCCTCCCCGCGATCTCTTCCATCCAGCACGCACCTTTGGTCCAGCAAGGCCTCTGAGTAGGAGGGCGGGGAGCCCACTTCTGATGCGTTCTGCTCGGCCTGGCTGGCCACGTACTGGATGCCATTGTTGACGTTGTAGGTGACGTTGCAGTGGTGGGGGTGATCTAAGACGACCAAGCGCGACAGCAGCACAGGGTGCTGCAGCCGGTGCACCGGCAGCGTCATGAGGTTGTTCCGCTTCCGCTGGTGGTGCAGGACCAGTGCCAGCAGGGCCACCACCAGCACGAAGATGACGGAGCTGCCGATGATGGCGTAGGTGATGCTGGGGTAGTACACGAGCTGGTTCTCCGATGTCACAAACACCTGCCCGCTGCCAGGTTCTGAGAAACCCCCGAGGGGAGAGAAAAGGAGAAGGTCATCACTTAACTCACGCCTTCTGGTTCAGTCAGTTCCGGGACGTGCGTGCAGATGTTTGCAGCAGCACGATTCACCATGGCCCAAAGGGAGAAACTGCCCAAAAGTCTACTGACCGGTGAATGGATAAACAAAACATGTTATGTCTATACAATGGCATATTACTCAGCCATAAGAAGGAACAGGTACTGACACATGCTAAACATGGATGAAGCTCAAAAACGTTATGCGCTAAGCAAAGTAAGTCAGATACAAGACCATATTGTATAATTCCAGCTATATAAAATGTCCAGAAAAGGGAAATTTATAGACAGAAAGTAGATTAAGGGTTGCCGGGGGATGGGAGTGGGAACAGGGATTAACTGGTAGTGGGTCCCAGGGATCTCACTGGGGTGAGGGGAACGTTGGATGTCGTGATGGCTACACACGTCAGTATAGTTGCTACAACACATTGAATGGCACACTTAAAATGGGGATATTTTGTTATGTAGATTATATTGCAATAAAGTTGTTTAAAGATACCAGCCCCAGGAATGATAATATTCAGGAGGGGCAGTTCCTGTGGGAGAAATCAGGTTTTTCCTCAGAAATTTTAATATAACATACACAAGGAACACTGGTCCATGGGTCCAAGTGCTTATGTATGCAGAGCACTAATTTTATGCCAGGCCCCATGCCAAGCTTTCAAGATAGAGAGCCAGCAAACACAGGCTAAAATCATGGACTCTGGAGCCAGACTAGGTTCAACTCCCAGCTGCTCAGCTTACTGGCTGTGTGCCCTTTGGAAAGTAGTCAACCTCTCTGTGTAGTACTTCCCCAGCTGTACAATGGGGATAGTAACAGTCCCCACCTCACTGGGCTGCCAGTGAGCATGAATTAAATGAAAAACCACAAAAGGCCCTGCATAGCAACAGTGATCCTGAGAAAGAATAACAAAGTTGGAGGGATCATGCTACCTAATATCAAACTATGAGGCGATAGTAATCAAAACAACATGATACTGACATAAAAACAGATGCATAGGCCAATGGAACAGAATAGAAAGCCCAAAAATAAACCTACACTTTTCTAGTCAACTAATATTTGACAGAGGAAGCAAGCACATACAATGGGATAAAGATAGTTTGTTTATTCAATAAATGGTGCTGGGAAAACTGGACAGATGTATAGAAAAATGAAACTAGACCACTTTCTTACACCACACATAAGAATAAATTCAAAATGGAGTAAAGATTTAAAGGTTAGGTCCCAAACCATAAAAACTGCAGAAGAAAACATGGGCAGCAAAATCTCAAACATTGCTCATAGCAATACTTTATCAGATATATCTCCCCAGGCAAGGGAAACAAAAGAAAAAATAAACAACTGGGGCTACATCAGACTTAAAAGTTTTTGCACAGCAAAGGAAAACATGAACAAAATAAGAACCCACAGAATGGAAGAACGCATTCACTGATATATCTGGTAAGGGGTTAACATCCGAAGTTATAAAGAACTTACAAAACTCAACACCAAAAAACCCCAAACAACCCAATTAAAAAATGAGCAAAGGACCTGAATAGACGCTTCTCCAAAGAGGACATACAGATGGCCAATAGACATATGAAAAGATGGTCAAAATCACTATTCATCAGAGAAATGCAAATTAAAGCCAAATTAAAGGTGTGGGGTGATATTAAATGCAGTATCACCTCACACCTGTCAGAATGGCTACCATCAATAAATCAACAAACAACAAGTGCTGGCGAGGATGTGGAGAAAGGGGAGCCCATTTTCACTGTTGGCGGGAATGAAGATTGGCGCAGCCACCATGGAAAGAAGTATGGAGATACCTCAAAAAAAATTAAAAATGGATCTGGCTTTTGACCCAGCAATCCCACTTCTGGGACTATATCCAGAGGAACCCAAAACACTAATTGGAAGAACATAAGCGCCCCTATGAATCACTAAGACATGGAAACAGCCCAAGTGTCTATCAGTAGATGAGTGGATAAAACAACTACGGGACATTTACACAATGGAATACTATTCAGCTGTAAAAAAGAAGAAAAATTTACCCTTTGCGACAGTATGGATGGACCGGGAGAATATTATGCTAAGTGAGGTAAGCCAGTCAGAAAAAGACAAATACTAAAGGATTTCACTTGTATGTGGAATCTAATGAACAAACTGAACTAACAAGGAAAACAAAGACAGACTCACAGAGAAAAGGATGACAGCTAAGTGGGTAGGGGAGGCTAGGGGGTGGAGGGATTGAACAAAAAGGAAGAAAAGGACTCATGGACGTGGACAACAGTGTGGCGACTGCTGGCGGTGGCGGCGGCGGGGCGGGGAGCGTGTAAGAGGACTAACTAGCAATGGAAAAAAATACAACTTAAAAAAGTAAAGAACAACTACCCATGGCTGCAGCCCAGCTGGAAGAATAATCTAAATGTAGTGCAAGTGAGCAAATCTGGTGACCACACCCTGTACTTTTTCCACCTGGGAAGCAGTGAGGAGGTGTTACGTGATGAAACGTGTTATGTGATGTAATGTAGCAGCAGCAGCAGCAGTGACCCCTGCTTCTTGGGCTGGTGTCCTGGTGCTGGGCTCAGCTTTACTACACTCCTCAGCACTTGATGGGTGCTTCTTCTGTTTATCGCTGTATCCCCACCGTGTGCATGGCAGAAAGTAGTATTGAATTGTGTGCAAATTGAAAGGTCACTGGTTCAGTTCCCAGTCAGGGCACATGTCTGGGTTGCAGGCCAGGTCCCTGGTTGGGGGCGTGTGAGAGGCAACTGATCAACGTATTTCTCTCATGTTTCTCTTCCTCTCTTTCTCACTCCCTTCCCCTTGCTCTAAAAATAAATGAAGTCTTTAACGACTCTCCATAGCAAGAAAAAGAAAAGGAAAATATCTCACTGGAAAGGAGATTACTCAGTCCTTATCCTGCCCCCTACGTTACCCCGCCAGGAGCAGCCTCCGCCAGCCTCTGTCTCTGGTCCAGGGAAGTTGTCGCAGACAGTGGAAAGAATGTGAACACTAAGAATTGGCATGAGCTAGTTGGGGATGATGAAAAGTTCTGGAGGTAAACGGTGGTGGTTTGCACCACAGTGTGAATGTACTTGATGCCACTGAACTGTACACTTAAAAGGACTTAAAGTGATCGATCTTATGTCACACACACACAGGAGTTTGCCAGGCTCTTTGCTCAGACCTCGGGGAATTCCGTGTACGGTGTTCTACCCTCTCAGCAGCCCACGGAGACGGCCACTGTTATTCACACAGAACCACCACCGTTTTAAAGATGAGGCATCTGAGGCTCATAAAAGTTCTGTAACTTCCTTGAGCACCAGCCAGAAATGATGGTCCCAGGATTCAGCCCCTCAGCTCTGTGCTGCAGACAACAAAATAAAGAAGATATCTTAAGTCTGAGTTCTGAAACATATACACAAGCCCTGACCCAGTTTCGTAATGATCTAAACTGAGAACAGACAGAACTCCAGCAGAACCCCAGAATGATAGCTAATTGTCTCCAGAAAATTTCAGTGCTGCCTCCCGCTCCTAGCTGTCTGGAGCTTGCTTCTGCCTTTTGTCTGGGGGTTCGTTTGCTTCCTTATGTACAGTTAATCATTGAAACAAGGACGCATGGGAATGTAGTAGCATTCATTCCTGTTTGAGCGTAGCTGGAAAGAAAATTAACACAAAGCATGGAGCTAGAGGGAGAAGATCTGTCTCAGATTAGGATTATTTCAGAGAATCAGGAAGGAAGATGGTATGTTTCAGAGCATATGGTGCTTTTTGAAGGAGAAATATCTGGGTTCTAATGCTGACTCCTCTACTTCCCATGTGGCATTAGACAAGTTAATTCACCTCTCTGAGTTAATTCTCTCATCTGAAAAATAGGAATAATAAAACAATAAAAGCACCGTACCAGGTAGGTGAATACACACATTTTTTTTTCCATTGAATTGCGTGCATTTATTGAGGCTGGCGGAGGCTGCTCCTGGCGGGGTAACGTAGGGGGCAGGATAAGGACTGAGTAATCTCCTTTCCAGTGAGATATTTTCCTTTTCTTTTTCTTGCTATGGAGAGTCGTTAAAGACTTCATTTATTTTTAGAACAAGGGGAAGAGAGTGAGAAAGAGAGGAAGAGAAACATGAGAGAAATACATTGATCAGTTGCCTCTCACACGCCCCCAACCAGGGACCTGGCCTGCAACCCAGACATGTGCCCTGACTGGGAACTGAACCAGTGACCTTTCGATTTGCAGGCTGGCACTCAATCCACTGAGCTCATCTGCCAGGCAAGATGTGTTTTCTTAGAAGAGGAAAGTAGCTGGATTTTCACACAGAAAACCAATGGGTCTGGTTTTAAGACCCTGACTTTTGTGTAACCACTTGCAGTTTTAAGAATACAACAGAGCGCACCTGCAAATGAATGGAATGTCAAATACTCGTGCATCTTAACAGTCTCATTAATGTCCCCCAAAGCAGGACCCCTCCAGCTCGGCCCGCACTGGCAGGCGAGAAGGGTGATCGCATTCACTGGAGAAATTATGTTACATAAGTCAGTGGTGCCTAGTCTCGTTTTTGCTCTGTGTGTAAAGTGTCATCTTGCATTTATTCATTAACTAGACTTACTTTTCTTAAGAGCTTTAATGAGCCTGCTGGCCAAATTACTAATATCAGAGTTGCCTGGGACCTGGGTTCCAAGTGCATAATCCGTGGATAATGAAGTTTCCGTTTCTTCTGGCTGTCCCTCAAGCTGATGCCCTCCTGCACCCCTGTCTGACCACTTGGATTCCTGTCTTGTGCCTGCCACTTCTCCCACATGAATTCCAGGCAACCGGGTCACTACCCAGAGGCCATTGCGATGGCTAACGCCGCCGCCTGTGCTGAGGGGCTGGCTGTGCGCAACTGCAGGGGCACGCGTCCCCTCAGTCGTCACAGACCTGTGCAGCACCACGGCAGTTTTCTAGCAGGTG